TTTTTTTGTTAAACCTCACGGGGAAAACGCAGCCTGCTCCAGTGCCATACCGCGAAGATGGAGAGCCCCATCTTGGCCGCCTCCTTGTCCTCCTTGGAGAGCATCACCCGGCCGGCGCTGCCACTGGGGAAAGATGTCATGAAATGAAAAAAAAAAAAAACAAAACAGAAAAAACACCAGAAAAAATGCATAAAAATGGTAAAATAAAAAATTAAGTATCTAATTGCCCTGAAATGGGGCGTTTTGGTGTGGCACCCTTCCCCCTGGTACCTGGAGCTGCCCAAGCCCACCACCCGGTCCACGTCCTTCTCGTCTCGCTCGGCGCTGTCCCGCTTGCACACCTCAGCCAGGTCCTGTGGGGGGAAAGAGAGTGTGGCCTCTGTGTGTGTGTGTGTGTCCCAAAAAAATAAGGAGGGGGCAACATGCTGGAGGGACAGGATGCCATTCAGAGGGATCTGGATAGGCTTGAGAGGTGGGCCCATGTGAACCTCATGAAGTTCAACCAGGCCAAGTGTAGAGTCCTACACGTGGGTCGGGGCAATCCCAAGCACAAATCCAGGCTGGGTGGAGGACGGCTGGAGAGCAACCCAGAGGAGAAGGACTTGGGGGTGTTGGTTGATGAGAAGCTCAACGTGAGCCAACAGTGTGCGCTGGCAGCCCAGAAAGCCACCCAAACCCTGGGCTGCATCCCCAGCAGCGTGGCCAGCAGGGCGAGGGGGGGGATTCTGCCCCTCTGCTCCGCTCTGGGGAGACCCCCCTGTGGTGCCACCTCCAGCTCGGGGGCCACCAGCATAAGAACATGGATCTCTTGGAGCGGGACCAGAGGAAGCCACGAAGATGACCCGAGGGCTGAAGCACCTCTGCTGTGAGGACAGGCTGAGAGAGTTGGGGGGGTTCAGCCCGGAGGAGGCTCCGGGGAGACCTTAGAGCCCCTTCCAATGTCTGAAGAGGACCTACAGGAGAGCTGGGGAAGGACTTTCTACAAGGACATAGTGATAGGATGAGGGGTGATGGCTTCAAACTGGAAGAGGGAAGATTTAGATTAGATATTGGGAAGAAATTCTTCACTGTGAGGGTGGTGAGCCCCTGGCGCAGGTTGCCCCGAGAAGCTGTGGCTGCCCCATCCCTGGAGGTGTTCAAGGCCAGGTTGGATGGGGCTTGGAGCAACCTGGGCTGGTGGGAGGTATCCCTGCCCAGGGCAGGGGAGGTGGAACGAGACGATCTTGAAGGTCCCTTCCAACCTAAACCATTCCATGGTTCTCTGACGTGCACGGGGCAATGCTGGGGGGATGCGCGGTGCCCCCCCTTACCTCCTTGCTGAGGCCGGTGGGCTGCCTCTTCACGTTCTTGTAGCCCCTATAGAACCAAACACAAGCGATGGCGTGGAGGGACAATGTCTTGCACCTCCTATTTATTTTTTTTAGGGGGGGTGGAGGGGTGGTGGTGTGTAGACTCACAGGGCTGCCATCATGGCCTCCTGCTCGGCCAGGCGGACGGCGGCCAGCTCTTCTTCGCGGGACAAGGTGGGGCCCGTCTCCTTCTTGCCCTTGGCGTACCACGTCAGGTCCTTCCCCTTCTGCCACCGGCCCACCGGCGCCATCAGGGAGTTCCCTGCGGGGAGCGAGACAACAACCCGCCCCCCAAAAAATAATCCTCGCACCCAAAAATCTCCATCCGCACCCCAAAACTGTGTCGGGGGGGGG